CGACCCCGAAGATGACCACTCTTCGGGCGCTGCTACACGTAGCAGCACAGCGTGACTACGAGCTTCACTCCCTCGACTTCTCTACTGCCTTTCTTCAGGGCAGCCTACACGAGCAGGTCTACCTGCGCCGACCACAGGGCTTCACTGGTACCTTCCCTCCTGGGACCCAGTGGCTTCTCAGGCGCCCGGTCTACGGCCTGCGTCAGGCTCCCCGCGAGTGGCACGACACGCTACGTGCCACGTTAGCAGACCTGCAGTTCTTTCCGTCCTCTGCTGACCCTTCACTGTTTGTGCGTTCCGGCCAGACTCCGTTCTACATCCTTGTCTACGTAGACGATCTGGTCTTCGCTACTCCTGACAGGGACGCACTGGCCTCAGTGAAGGCTGAGCTGCTGAAGAGACACACCTGCACTGACCTTGGAGAGCTGCGTCGCTATCTTGGCCTGCAGATCTCTAGGGACAGAGCAGCACGCACCATCACTCTGACCCAGTCACACTTGGTGCGTCAGGTCCTTCAGAGGTTCGGTCTTCAGTTCTCCTCCGCACAGCCCACACCTCTACCCGTAGACCATGGGCTCTCTGCTCCCGTTCCTGAGGAGCCAGTAGAGCCCAGTGGCCCCTACGCAGAGCTGGTGGGTTGCCTCATGTACCTGATGACTTGCACTCGCCCAGATCTCGCATACCCTCTCAGCATCCTGGCTCGCTTTGTGGCTACAGGCAGACACCGACCTCAGCACTGGTCTGCCGCTAAGAGGGTTTTGCGTTATCTTGCTAGTACATCAGGCATGGGGTTAGTGCTAGGAGGACGCAGGCCAGTGGTCCTTACTGGGCACACAGACGCTTCTTGGGCAGACGACGCTGAGACGCTCAGGTCGTCGCAGGGCTACTGTTTCAGCCTTGGTTCGGGTGCTATCTCTTGGAGATCCACTCGCTCGTCGTCTGTGGCTCAGTCTAGCTGTGAGGCTGAGATCTACGCTGGTGCCATGGCGGCACAGGAGCTCCGCTGGCTGACCTTCTTGCTCACAGACTTAGGTGAGCGGCCTAGCTCTGCCCCGGTCCTGTACGCTGACAACAGGGCCATGATACTCCTGTGTCAGGAGCCTCGGCTTGAGGGCAGAGCGAAGCATATCCAGCTGCGGTACTTCCTCCTGCGCGAGCTACAGCAGCGCCGCCAGGCCCGCGTAGTTCACTTGGCCTCAGGTGCCAACACAGCTGATATCTTTACTAAGGCGCTTGCGCCTAAAGATCATCAGCGGCACTGTGTACAGCTTGGTCGTGTTCCTATAGCTGCTCCCCTGTTAGGATCCTGATTGTGTACTCTCTATTATATATGCTTGTCAGACTGGCCTTGTGGCCTTACCTCCAGTGGCTGGACTAGTAGTGCCACCCTGGCTTGCTTCAGTTTTGGTTGTATTCTTGCTGACTGGTCTCCAGACCCCTGCCTCAGTGGTTGGACTAGTAGTGCCGCCCTGAGCTGTTTGCTTCTTGTTTAGTTTCACCCCTTGTCTAGCCTAGGGGGTGTGTCAACTTATACATATTATCTATGTAGAAGTTATAGGCTAGACTGAGGTATGCTTCTAGTGAGTACAACCAACTAGTATTTGTTCTAGGTTTCCACCTCTAGTAATCATTCGTTTCTACGTTCACAAGCATTTGGTTTGGTACTTACTGTAGGTGTGGTGCTTAAAGCCGTTGAACCATAATGCAGTGGCTGTGGGAGTTTGGGAGGCAGGGTGGGGCGAAGTGGCGTGAGTTGTTCACGAGGCTGCGAGAAAAACACATAGGACAAAAAAGGGGGGGACTTGGGGAGGGTTGCGCTTGACAAAAACAAGACTCGAGGCTAGAGGGGAAAAAACAGAGAAGGGGGACATCAGCAAATGCACGCGGTCCACTTTGATTGTGCAGGGGTGAAGGGGGGCCTAACAATTGTTTCTTGGGGCACCCGGTTGCACGGGTATTTGCACGTCACCAGTGCATAAAAACTATCAAACGCAACTCGTAAAAAAAAAAGGTTCTGCAGTGCGAGTGGGCCTGAGATCAATCCGATTTGGTGACGAGTGTGCGAAATGGGTATGAAGCCGAGCGGAAAAAAATACGCAGGCAAAAAACGTTGGCGAACCGGAGCAAAACACCACAGAAATATGTCGGGGAGGTGGGGACAAGGGAAGGGATGCGCAGAAAAAACGCACATCATGCGGGCAGAAACAGGGAACCCAGTACAAGCAAGTCCCAAATGGCAAACTCAAAAAGGGGTGGCGGGGGGAAACGGGGGAACCGTGTGCGCACTGGTGTACGTTTCAGCTGGAAGAGTCCCAAAATGCAAACTCTGGTTTTTCAAGTGTGGGGGGACCTGGCGCAGCTCCTTGTCGCCAAAACTCGAGCGAGACTAGTTCACCCAAAACCCGGCTACCCTAATTTCATCCTTCAAGATTATTAATCTTTAACACATAAGTGGTATGCATTATGGGTTAATAGCTTTAACCTTCCCATTTGCTTTGTTACGTTCCCCAGATGCGTGTTATGGATTGAACTCCCGAGTAGTGCAGAGGGCAATGGTGAAACTGTGAACGTGTTGAGAATAGCCCTGATTGTGCGAAGGCTGCCGAAGTCTGCTGAAGCGGCATATCGACGAAGTCTGCGAACACAAGCCCTGCAGAAAGGCTTGTCGACAAAGGGCAGATTTATCAAGGCGAGGCTCTGGGGGAAATGCTAGTGGCAGAAGAGCAGTTTCGTTGAAGTGGCAGAAGAGCGTTTCCGTCGAAGTGGGAGAAAAGTGGTTCTGTCGAAGTGGCAGAATAGGAGCGCGTTTCAGCATAAAGCTTCTACAGTGACAGGTGGCATTGTAGAAGCGATCTCGACATCTAGGCGACTATCGCCTCCGGCGCAGCGAAAGTATTTAATAAATACTTGTGCAAATAGCCTCAAGGGCCTTGCCTCATAATCTGATCTCAAAGTGGTTGCAAGTTGTCAATACACACAAGCATTCCACTAGTTCCAATGAGATACAAAGCACAAATGTTCAAACAGATTTATAGTGGAAGTACAAGCAATTTCGTGCTTTGTAACTGCCGTGTGCGCTGCGCGTAACTCGCGCGCTTCGTGTCATGCCGAGTCGCACACGCAATCGCGACTTTCTTGCTGAACACGTTACTGGTCCGAAGTCCGAATGCTTGTTGAACACGCCCCGTCCGAAACCCAACTTTTGCCCCACGTCAATCTGTTTCTCGCCACTTCCCTTCCTTTCTTCCACTCAACTCCTCCATCTTCTTTCTTTCCACCAATCTTCGCTCAACCTTCTCTCTTGCTTCTCCCATTTCCGTACACCTCACGCTTACGCAATACCCGCTTCCTAGTTCCTTCTCGTCCCAAGTCCGCATTTCTCTCCTCGTCACCCCAAGTCACGAGTAGTCCATTGTGGGTGGCGGAACCACTCCAACAACCTCCCCTGTGGTTCTGCCAACCACACCCTCTAAGTCACCTTCAGACTCCCCTGCATGTCCTTCAAGGTACGTATCCCGACCTTCTCCTTGAAGTACTCAAAGTTGGCCCTTGGCAGCACCTTGGTCAAGAAATCAGCTGCCTGCTCTTCAGTGCGCACAAACTTGAACTTGAATTGCTGCTTCTCTAACTGCTCCCTCACCCAGTGATATTTCACATCCATGTGCTTAGTCCTCCCATGCCAGTTGTCGTTCTTCGCTAGTGCAATAGCCGATTGGCTATCGCTCTTGATGGTGATCGGGCCCTCCATGTTGATGTCCATCTCGTTGAGTAGACGTCGCAGCCACACACCCTCTTGGCATGCATAGAACAATGCCATGTACTCAGCTTTGTCGCTTGAGAGATCAATATCGTCGAATTTCTTTGCTTGCCACATGATGGCCGTCCCACCAAGGAGGTAGACATAGCCGTATGCCCCCCTCCTCGTCTCCTTGTCCGATGCATGTGAGGCATCGGCATATCCCATGAGCTCAAGGCTCTCTTCTCCTCCTTCAAACAGCAAGCCTTCATCCTTCCTTTGCACAAGGTAGGTGAGGGTCATCTCCATCTCCTTCCATTTCCTCCCTTCGAGTTGGAGCACGTTTTGCCCCAAGAAACTTGCAGCATAGGCGATGTCAACTCGTGTGCATGAGACAGTGTACATCACCGATCCCACCATGGATTGGTACCCCTTCAAGGCCCTCTCTTTGCTGCCCCATGTGTCCATCTCTTCTTCCACATCCACCTCTTTTCCCGCCAAGCTGCTGAGAGGTGTTACAATGAGTTTGGTTCCCAAATGGTCGCCAAAACGCTCCTTCAACCGATGAGAGTACTTCTTTTGGTAAAGAAGCAGCTTCCTCTCCTCTCGGTTCCGCTCCAAGTTCATTCCAAGGAAGAGGGTTGCCCTTGGAATTTGCTTCACTTGGAAGACGCTTGCAAGGTGCTTGCACACACCTTCCACCTCTGCTTCAAGAGCTCCCGCCACGAGAATATCGTCCACATAGAGAAGGAGGAAGACTTTCTCCTTCCCTTCTCCCCTCCAATAGAATGCTCGGTCACTTTGGCTTTTCTCAAAGCCACCCTTCATCAAGTGCTTATCCATGGCCTTGTACCACTCACGTGGGCTTTGCTTAAGGCCATAGAGTGCTTTGATGAGCTTGCACTTGCGGTTGGTGCCATCTTCACACCCGAGGGGCTGCTCCATGTAGATTTCCTCTTGCAACTCGCCATATAGGAAAGCATTCTTGACGTCTAGCTGCACTAAGTGATAGTCACGAGCGGCTACCACCTTGAGCAAGGTCCTTGCAGTTGTAAGCTTGCTCACGGGTGCGTAGGTTTCAACATAATCCACTCCTTCCACTTGAGTGTAGCCCTTGGCAACGAGCTTTGCGTTGAAGCGCTCGAGTTGACCCAAGTCTCCTGTTTTGATCTTGAAGATCCACCTCACTCCAACCAGCCTCCTCCCTTCTGGAAGTTCCACAAGTACCCAAGTTCCCCTTTCCGCCAAGGTATCTAGCTCTTCTTGAATGGCTTTCCTCCACTCCTTGTGATATGGCCCCGAAAGTGCTTCTTCAATGGTGTCCGGTTCATCGGGTAGATTGTACTTTGCACGTGTTGCCTTGGAAACTAATGCCGTTGCCGAGATGGTGAGGAGGAGGTGGGTGTGGATGGCCTTGAAGCACGTCATGATGGCGTTGGCATATTGAGGGCCAACCACGTTTGGATTCGGCTTCTTGATACGTCGTCCTCTCCCCATCCTCTCCTCCTCCGGTTCGGGTTCGGCTTCCTTTGGCGTTGACGTTGCCTCATTATCCGTCTCCCCTTCTTCCTCTTGTCCTATCAAGATGGCTCCTTCATTGAGAAGACCTTCAATCTCTTCCACATCCTTCTCATTATCCTTAGAGGTCATGAGCCTCCAAGGTCCACTTGAGTCCGTGGTACTCATTTCTCCCTCCATGGGCACATGCTCCTCCTCGGCTTCTTCAACTTCCACCTCATTGTTTTCAGCTCCCAAACACACATCCTTGTCCTTTGGTGTCTCGGAGTTCTCCATACTCTCCTTGGGATTTGGGTTTGAGACATCGTGCTCCCATGCTCCATGGAACACAACCTCCTCCGAATCGGTTTCAGCTCCAAGTCCTTCTATTTCGGCTTCGAAGAGTGATGTCTCGTTGATTGGGGACGTTGTGTGCATTCGGTTCACCGTGCCGTCGTTCTCCCTTCCATTCTTCCAAGTCATGTAGTTGACTTCTTTGTAGAAGACACCATCGCGAATAGCCTCCAACTTCCCCGTCTCCACATCACGCACCATCCATCCTTTGCTCACGGTAGATGGTCCCAAGTGAACACCCCACTTGGTCCTCGAGAGAAGCTTGTGATCGGGACCCGCCGGCTCACGGTATTGCACCATGCATCCCCACACCCTAAGGAACCCAAGGTTGGGCTTCCTTTTATAGAAGGCTTCATGGGGGGTGACGTCCACCGCTAGCCCTTTAGTCGGCATCCGGTTCTTGAGCCAACAAGCCATCGCCACCGCATCTCCCCAATAGTCCAAGGTCAACCCACTCTCGGCAAGCATGCTCCTCATGCCCTCGAGTAGTGTGCGATTGACCCGCTCCGCAATGCTATTGTGTTGGGGTGTGTAGGGAATGGTGAGTTGGCGTCGGATCCCTTTTTCACGAAGGAAGGCATCGAATGCCTTGTTGACGAACTCTCCGCCTTTGTCGGTTCGAAGGACCTTGAGAAGCTTGCCACTTTGCCGCTCCGCTTCCGCTAGCCATTCCTTGAAGCACTCAAGGACTTAGGTCTTGTCCTTGATCTCCGAGACCCACGTGTTCCTCGTGCCTATGTCGGTGAAGGTTACGAAGTACTTGCTCCCGTGCCGAGATGGAACCTTCATGGGTCCACACACATCCGCCGTGACAATCTCCATCGCCTCATATGGCTCCACCTTAGCACCATGCTTTGGGTGAGGGATCTTCTTGTTCTTCCCCTCCACACATGAAGTGCACGTCGACACCTCCACGCCATTGCCTTCAACCAGCTCCACTCCCGTGACCATCTTCTTCTTGAAGAGTTCCTTGATCCGAGAAGAGCTTGCATGCGCCATCTTTCGATGCATGGTGTTGAGGTCGACCGACTTCGGTTTTGCCGCTACCATGAGTGTTTGTTGCTGCCACTCATGCCCATATGCTTCTTCCATCATTGAAAGAAGCTCCTCCCTTGCTTTCTTCCCTTCCTCGGGTTCGTCAAGGTATGTAACCTTAGCTTCCGGTATTGGCTTTTCCATCACCCGCATCTCATACAAGCCTTGCTTGCGTTCTCCCTCGGCAAGCACCTTCCACTTGGGTCCAAACACCCAAAGCTTCCCATTGTTGCTGTAGGTCTTGCACCCACTCCCATCGAGTTGGGTTTGACTTATGAGGTTGAGGGAGAGCTTATCGACGAAGAGTACGTTGTCCAATTTCAGCTCCCCAAACGGACTTTGTAGCACCATGTCGCCTTCCCCTTTCACCTCGAGTTGGCCATCATCACCGAGAAGTACGTGATGCACGGTAGACGTACGGAAGTTTTGTAGCCATGTCGCCCGGTTGGTCATGTGTTGCGTGCATCCGCTATCCATGAACCACGCCTTGCTTTGAACACCCTTAGCAAGGAGACACGCCGATGAGGCGCGGGCCACATTCGCCTTGTGTGCCCCGCCCATGATAGCGTCGTCCTCCTTTGCTTTCTCGGCTTCCACGATGTTGGTCTTGGCAGGAGTTGTCGTCTTTTCTTGCGATTGTGCTCCCGTGAAATTCTTGCCATTCGGGTTAGAATAGCAATCCATCGCCTTGTGCCCGTACTTGTTGCAATGGTTGCAAGTGCCGGGGAAGGTTCCTCGTCCGCGTTGTCCTTCTTCACTCGTTCCGCCGCCATGTTGCATACTCCTCCCCTTGAAGTTCGGACTCTTGGGGTTGGAGAAACACTCGGCCGCCTTGTGCCCTTTCTTTCCGCAATGAAAGCATGCGCCCATCGGTTTTCCGGCTCCAACGGCATTGACAAGCGCTGGGTTTTCGCCAAAGAGCTCTTCCAAGAGCTTCCTTCTGTTCATGGTATTGGTGCGGATTAGCTCCAATAATTGAAGCGTTTCCGCCAACTCCGTCAATGTCTTCGGTCGGCTACACGAGACGTTGCCTTTGTGTGCCTCCCACTCGTCCGGAAGTCCACCGATGACGTAGCTTATCATTTGCTTCTCGGTCTCGGGTACGCCCATCGCCTTCAACTCGTCTCCGTAGCTCTTGGCACGATTCACATACTCCGCGATCGTTTCGTTGGGCTTCAAATGGTGTAGGATGAGCTTCTGACGAACGTTCGCCATGTTCACCTCGGTCTTGCCCATGTAGAGCGAGTCCATGTGATCCCACCCGAGTTGTGCGGCGTTGACTTCATCGACGAAGTCCTCCATGCCGATGGCGATTCCATCCGCCACCGAGTTGCACAGTTGGAAGAGAGCGTGCTCGTTCTTCTCCTTGTACGCCGCCTTCTCCTTGTCCGAAGCCGTGTCGTCCGGTACTTCGGTAGCTTTGTTGTAGTACTTCCACAATCCAACCTCCTTAGCGCGCCGAATGAACTTAAGTCGCCACGTGCTATAGTTCACGCCAACAAATCGTTGCGCCTCGGGAAGATTGATGGTCGGCTTGGGCACCACTTGGGCCTTGGCCAAGGCTTCTTGGCTCTTGGCTAGAGCCTCGAGAAGACTTTTCAACTCCGACTTTTCAATGCTCACGGTTGAGCTCGAACTCGCCTCATCCGTGCCGTTCCCCATGACTAAATGTTAGTACGCCTCCTCTAGTCGACTATCCTCTAGCCACGCCACGTGTGATTATATCGACCGTGACAATAACGAGGCTCTGATACCAGTTCTAGGCGCCTATCGCCTCCGGCGCAGCGAAAGTATTTAATAAATACTTGTGCAAATAGCCTCAAGGGCATTGCCTCATAATCTGATCTCAAAGTGGTTGCAAGTTGTCAATACACACAAGCATTCCACTAGTTCCAATGAGATACAAAACACAAATGTTCAAACAGATTTATGGTAGAAGTACAAGCAATTTCACGCTTTGTAACTGCCGTTTGCGCTGCGCGTAACTCGCGCGCTTCGTGTCATGCCGAGTCGCACACGCAATCGCGACTTTCTTGCTGAACACGTTACTGGTCCGAAGTCCGAATGCTTGTTGAACACGTCCCGTCCGAAACCCAACTTTTGCCCCACGTAAATCTGTTTCTCGCCACTTCCCTTCCTTTCTTCCACTCAACTCCTCCATCTTTCTTTCCACCAATCTTCGCTCAACCTTCTCTCTTGCTTCTCCCATTTCCGTACACCTCACGCTTACGCAATACCCGCTTCCTAGTTCCTTCTCGTCCCAAGTCCGCATTTCTCTCCTCGTCACCCCAAGTCACGAGTAGTCCATTGTGGGTGGCGGAACCACTCCAACACGGCAGAGTCGAGAGTGTACAAAACCTTCTGCCGATGGGTTGTCTTCTGCCAAAGCCCCCATCTCATAATTACAAGAGTTTAACACTTGGTTGAGACAAACAGGCACTGATTGGTACGCGAGGTGTAAACAAAACTACGATAACGAAATTCACGTGGCGAGGCCGTTTTGTTTCGACAAAAAAATCCAAACAAAGAAACAGGTTTGGGGAAGTTTGGGACGGGTCAGGTTTAGCATATCGGACGGTGCAAACTCCAATTTTTTGCGCAGCAACTTTCTACTTCGTTTATAGCCGTCGATTCAAACGCCCAGTCACTCAACCGTCAGATCTGTTGTGGTATAATTGATACTTAGCATTTCTGTAAGTCGATTAAGTGTAGTTATTGTCGAATCATACTGTAGAAGATAAGTTCGTAAGTATGACGTCAGCAAATAGCGCTCGTCACAGGACAGTCATTTCAGTCACGCGAACAGTCGCATCTCTTCATTATCATCTAGGGCGCATAGCGCGATAGTAACGAAAAGGTACATTAGCGAATCGGTACTTTTCTTAGAACTATAAATCCTTGTTAGGTCTTTTTCATTATTAACTTTGCTTACTCACAAGTTTACATACTGAAGTTATTCAACCTTGACCTTTACATTTTACAAGACTTCCGCTGTCTTACTAGTCTACCATTCCAGTAAAGATCCTGGACCAACACTTGAGGATTTGCCAAGTGTTTGTATTTGTAGTTTTATACTTAGTCTCTTACAATATCAGACGATTTATTTCATGGTATAAGAGCTATCTGGAATTAAGACTACCGTCAACTATGATTGGTTCATCACCAGCACCATCTGCCGGATCAGTTACCGGAACTACTGGAGCACATGTCTCCACTACCGCCGCTGGTCTCTCAGCCTCTGGGCCATTTCCACAAGCCTATGCTAATATCGGTATGCAACAGCAGAATCCGCCTCTAGTAAATACTCCAGGTGCTCCATCGACTACACCTGCAGCACAGCAACAAGCGTCAGTACAGCCAACTGTTTCAACGCAATCAATTTCATCTGTGTTTAGTGGAATGAGCCTTGACGGCTCGAGTTACATGCGTGCAGCTACAGCTCCAAGTACTGGTTCGTTTGCTTTCTCACCTTTCGTACAGCAGCCGCAGTCACAGCAATTTCAGCATCCCTTCTACATCTTTGCTCGTCCCCCTGCTCAGCAGCCACAGCAAGTTCAGCAACAACAACAACAGCAACAACAGCAACAGCAACAACAGCCGGGCATTGTCTTTCGGCCTCCAAATTTACTTAACAATACTCAAATCAAGATGACCATACCTTTTAACGGAGTCGACTTCTACTCCTGGAGCTTTGAGTTTGAGCTTCTGGCGCAGTCCGCTGGGCTATGGCCGTTCTTCACTGGCGAGTTCACGTACCCTGTCGTGGGAAAACAACTGGAGCAGCAGAGTTTCTTGCACGCCTCTCTCGGGGCGTATACAGTTCTTGTACGGAACTTGTCACCGAAGGAGCAGCTCGGCGTTCGATCGTTTCACTCAAGTTTTACACCAGCCGAAACTGCATGGAACCATCTGAAGGGGGTATACATGGCGAAGGATACAATAACAGTGAGTAAAATACTTTCGCAGCTGACAAGTGTGCAGATGATGACAAATGAAAACGTCATGGACTACGTTAACCGCGTCCATACACTACGTGACCAACTGGAGAAGAGCGGGGGATACTTCCCTCGTGAGATGTATCTCACTGTCCTTCTGGCTGGCCTTGGACCCGAATGGCGACAGACGCGCGCCTTCTTACGCATGAATCCCAATCTATCCGAAGCTGAAATTTCTTCTTATCTTCAAGCAGAGCAACAAGATCTTGACCTGCAGTTACAGCGCAATCAGAAAAAGGGGGTTCATTTAAGTTTCTACTCCAATCCAGAACCACAGCATCGACATCCACCGAAGTATCCATTCCGCCATTTCTGTAAAAAACCATACTTACCAAAACTGTCGCAGCCGTCATCAAAATCGTCGCAGCACTTCACAGCCGTATCATCGATCGCAGCAGTTACCGAAGACACAACAGTCACAGCAGCAGCAGATGCCGAAACCGCAGCAGAATCCATTGACGTCGCAGCATCGCCCGCCGGTCTTTGCATCTGCCACATCCGGAAAAGGGGTCTTTGGATGCGTCACTACAATTGATGTTTCAGAAACAGATTTTGAAACACGACTTGAAGAAACAACAAGTGCTGAAGGCATTCCTTTACCTCAAGTTTACGCTAACCTTGCTCGCATAATTTCAGGTCCGAATACTTGGTATCTCGACAGCTGCTGCGGTTGGCAAATGTGCTCCGCAGAAACAAGCTTCATAACCAACCAGCGTCCACTTCGTCGTCCGATACCTGTCACAGTCGCAAACGGACAAACGATTATGGCACGTTCTGTTGGAAGCGTAATGCTCGAATCTATCGACACGGGATACTCACTACATGTTACCAATGTTCTTATCGTCGCTGGTCTTGGCTTCAATCTTCTTTCCACGGCTCAACTTCTGGCACACAAAATCCGCACACAGGGCAATAGTGAGACGATGGATCAGGAGCTCTGGCACAGTTCAACGAATACTTATCTTGGTCGTGCCGCCACTCAACATGGCGTGTCAGTTCTTCAGTTCGCAGCACAGGGAACTTCTGGAGATTCTGAACGCGTGCTTGCACTTGGTCCCTGGGATCACCCAGAAGAAACAGATTATCAACACGTGGATATTGACTTTCGAGCAACTACTGTACCGCCGATGAAAGTGCCACCGCGTGGCGAACGTTTTATAATACACGTGCCGCCTTCCAAGGAACTCCAGCACCACTTTGGGGAGAAATTAGTGGACTAGCAGCTGATGAACCTGACGTCGTTGAAGAAGCCGAACAGGAAGAAGTAGCTGAGCAGCCGAGTCCAACAGTAGCTGTCTCCGAAACTTCTGCCACGACATCAACAGAAGCAGTGTCAACAGTTGTACTCGCAACTACAGCAGCGCCTTCAAATGTCACGTTATCTCTTACCCGTTTCGTCGAAGGAGAGATTGAAAAGTCACCAGCACTTTCTCCTTTCATTCTTTCTGCTTTTTATACTAACTCCGATTTCTACCTGCGCTCATCAGGACACAAAGCCACAGAAGATATATGGCATCAGCGGTTAGGCCACCCATCACAAGGGATACTTAATCATTCAATCCGAGCAGCAGTTCTTGATAAGAATAGTCTACTTTTACCTGACGGCACGGAGCTGAAGCCGCAGTCTCGACCGACAGTTTGCACCACCTGTCCGGTTGCCAACCTTACCCACGATCCGTTTCCAAGCCACTTTCTTGGTTCAACTCGTTACAAACTGATGCAGAAAGTCTATAGCGACATACTAAACTTACCTGAAGCAGGACCTCAAGACGAAAAGTATGTCATAACATTTATCGAAGCGTCTACACGCTATGTCTGGACAGCAAATCTTCCCGCGCGTTATCTCGCGCACTCCGTTTTCGTCGCGTGGCTCGCTGTCGCTGAAAGAGAGTCTGGCGTGAAACTGCAAGAATTCCAGAGCGACGGTGCAGGGGAGTACACCAGCAACACTTTCACATAATACCTTCAGACACTCGGCATCAAACGGAAGCAGTCTCTGCCGCATGCACACCAACAGATGGGGGTAGCAGAAAGGATGAACAGGACTCTGCAGGAGAAGATGCCTGCTCTGCTGACGCAGGCAGCACTTCCACCGCGTTTTTGGCCGTATGCGATGGACCACGCCGTGCTGTTATACAATCTTCTTTCTTCAACGTCCCTGCCCGAGTTTTCTTCTCCGCACCTGCAGTGGACACGTACATTGGGAAACACCAAACTTTTACAAGTTTTTGGGTGTGTTGTACAATTTCGTCCTCCAACTGCGGCCCTCGGCAAATTTTCTGAACGAGCAAAATGGGGGGTACATCTCGGCATCGAAAAACAGTATCACGCATGGAAGATTTTGGATCTTAGCTCCAACCAAGTCGTCCTATCCCGTGATTGTCTTTTTTACGAACGACTCACCTTGCCCATTTTTCATGCCCACCAGGCAGCAGCTGCCAACCCCGCCAGGCTGTTCGAAGGCTCGCGTGCATTTGCAACTGACGAGGCCGAAGCTGATGTACAGGACGAAGCCGTTTCTGAAGCATCCGAAGCTGCCGCAACTGACATTCCCGAACCTGTAACCTCGACTGGCATACCAGAGTTTATTCCTCTTGCAGATGCTGACCCGGATGACGTTCGCGAAGTCCGTCTCAGTTACGAACGCGATCGCCAACAGCAGCCGATGCCCGCCGTCTCCGACGAAGCAGTTCGTGTTACACTTGATGAAATTGGGGGGGAAGAAGGAGCAGAAGAAGAAGAAAATCTCGCAGGTGCAAACGAAGAACGTCCGCGTTTTACAGAAACAGGATTACAGATACTGGGATTTGAAGTAGCAGTACAGTGCAACAACAGTAAGATACCTGAACCGAAAACCGTCCGACAAGCTCTTACGAGCCCTTACCGAGAGCAATGGCGCGAAGCCATGGACAGAGAGCTAGCAGCTTTCAAGAATCGCGGAACATGGGATTTAATACCGACTTTAGAAGTAAAAGGAAAGAAGGTACTTACCGGAAAATGGGTCTTCAGCGTCAAGACTAATGCAGATGGGTCGTTTGAAAAGTTCAAGGCGCGATGGGTCGTCCGCGGATTCGAACAGACTTACGGCATCGACTATGAATTAACTTTTGCTCCTGTCGGCCGATATACAAGCGTTCGGATTCTACACTGTGTCGCCGCCTGCCGTAATCTGCGACTTCGACAAATCGACGTGTCAAATGCGTTTCTCTACGCGCCCGTTGACGCACTCATCCTGGTAGAGTACCCGCATTCCTATGTTACTAACCCACCGAGCGTATGCCGTCTACAAAAATCCCTGTACGGCATTAAACAGCCATCACGGCTCTGGCAGCAGTACCTCCACTCACAACTGATTACTGCCGGATTTCGACAGTTACCGCATGACCAGGGAATGTATCTTCTAAACGACGGCAGCAACTACATTTTACTCGTCGCCTACGTCGATGACATCCTCTTCGTTAGCACTACCGATTCCCTTGCCGATAACCTCATACTGAAATTACAGAAAACTCTACAGCTTACCGTCTCCGAAACAGTCTCACAGTTTCTTGGTCTGAATATTAGCTGTTCACCGACGACTATTCATCTCACCGCTTCGAAGTACGCAGCAACGCTCGCTGCCCGCTTCAACCTCACACCTACTGCAGTCTCTACACCGTATCGCTCACTACCGACTGACTACAAACCGAATACTGCACTGTTACACTCAACTGGTTTACAAATCTATCAACAGCAGTTAGGCTGTCTACTCTTCGCCGCTGTCACATGTCGTCCCGATCTAGCTTACGCGGCCAGTCAGCTCGCTCAGTTCCTCCGCCGTCCCGAAAAAGAACATCAGCTTGATCTTCTCCGTGCGCTTCAGTATTTCATCTCGACACCTAACATCGATTTAGTCTACAACGTCATCAGTTGCAAAACACTATATCTACACGGTTTCGTCGACGCCGATCACGCTGCTGACTCTACTAAATGACGGTCGCGCACTGGATTCATATACCGGCTTGAACCTATCGGACCTATTTCTTGGAATTCGACAAAGCAGGAGTTGATTGCTCTCTCCTCTGCTGAAGCTGAGTTTATTGCTGTCTGCACAGCAACACGCGAAGGACTTTACTTACAGGAAATATTGGAAGAAGCGAAGTTGACGACGACTACCCAGTTTACCCTACAGTGCGACAATCAAAGTGCACTTCGTATCGCACATCAGCCTGGCTTCGTCAACAGGACGAAACATATTTCTCTGCGTTATTTTTTCGTCAAGGACGAAGTCGAGAAGGGGAGAATGCGATTGATCTACTGTTCGACCAACGAAATGGCTGCCGATTTCCTCACGAATAAGCTGACACGACAGAAGTTCCAGTACTGTAACAAGCTCTACGGAATCTTCAAGAAGTGACACTATCGAACGTCCAGAAATGAAGGGGAGTGTTGTGGTATAATTGATACTTAGCATTTCTGTAAGTCGATTAAGTGTAGTTAGTGTCGAATCATACTGTAGAAGATAAGTTCGTAAGTATGACGTCAGCAAATAGCGCTCGTCACAGGACAGTCATTTCAGTCACGCGAACAGTCGCATCGCTTCATTATTATCTAGGGCGCATAGCGCGATAGTGAGAAAAGGTACATTAGCGAATAGGTACTTTTCTTAGAACTATAAATCATTGTTAGGGCTTTTTCATTATTAAATTTGATTACTCACAAGTTCACATACTCAGGTTATTCAACCTTGACCTTTACATTTTACAAGACTTCCGCTGTCTTACTAGTCTACCATTCCAGTAAAGATCCTGGACCAACACTTGAGGATTTGCCAAGTGTTCGTATTTGTAGTTTTATACTTAGTCTCTTACAACATCAGACGATTTATTTCAAGATCAAAGGCTCTAGATGATCTAACGGTGCAGCAGGACTGTTCTTCTGTAAACTTGCGGATTCTCATATTGCTGAACTGGTTTTATGGTTGGTATCCCCCCCCCCTTAGCACAGCACACTGTCCGAGGCATTTCCAAGCCTGTCGCTTCAAATTCACCAGCGTAACTGGGTACCAAACATTTAACACTTGCTCACTTCCTAAAATTATGAGAGTGGGGCTCACTTCATTTACGCGCAGAACACACATCTGCGATCCTTGCAGCAGAGTCGACTCTTGGAAATGCATTCCAACAGGACCTCGGGCAGACTGGCACAAGGACCTGCTCGCGCAGAATTGCTTTCTGCCGAGTTCGGCTATCTCTTCTGCAATCGACCCCCTCGGCAGAGACGAAATTCGGCAGAAGCGCGTCAGAGAGTCATCTCGGACTTCACTTCTGCGAACGACCCCTCTGGCAGAAATCGGGGACTTAGTTCTCGGCTGAAGGTGCGTTCCGAAATCGCGAGAAATTCGCGATTTCGTAAGATAACCACTGAACCGATCTTTACCGGAAACGGCAAAATGTACCTGACTCGGCAGTTTCTGCCGGTTCTGTCAATTTCGTTCACCTATCGTGCGACGCCTGACGACCACGGAGATCGTCAGCGTCGCCTTTCGCGCCATTCCTCCAGCAGGCAAGAGCAGTAGTCTATACGCTTCATTAGGCGCTTCACAAAAGAATTTGAAGAATAATCGTTGTACTGTTTCTAAAGTGAAAGGGTGGGTGCAAGTTTCGTTAACCTTCACGAAAACCAACTTCAGAGGATGGAATTCAGGTGGAGCTGCTCTTTCAGGAATTCCCAAGGCGCCCTGTACAAACGAAGCTCGTCAGAGTCGCACAGAATTTTAGGGTGCTGGGGATTCAATCGGTCAAATATTTCGCTGTCCCTCGCCACGGGCAAATGAGGCTTTCGGACGAGCACACGGCGAAATGGGTGGGTATTTGTGGGGGGAGCTTGTGTGGCGATGTTTGTTGCCAGTGTGCGACTCTTGTGAAGCGATCAGGCGACGGCGGTGCACAGTTCCGTGGCGACGAAACCTCGTCGGCAACGACTTGTCCCTTGCTATATGCTGGTCGCAGAACGCAATCATGAGTGACTCAAACGGATCTCCCATTGCCGGTATATCGAAGGTTTTGGGAGCGGATTTTGATTGGGCGTCAGGTTGAGCTACGATAAGGCTGGGCATCAACTGTATCAGGAATTCTCGAGGGCGTCAACCTCACTCAGGGGGTGTCCGAAGTAAAACAAATTGTGGCGTCCCGGGACGTCACAGAAAGGTACAGTGCGGTATTCGTTGTTTTTAGAATGTTTAAACAGCATATACTCTCGGTTCTGCGATGTCCCCATACCTTACGCTCCACTTCGGACATTCGTCGGAAGCTCCAACCTGCCTTCAGCAGGCACAGCAAGGAATGGCTCAACCTCTCCAGATAACTCCAACCCACAGGAACGGCAGAGATGGCTTTTAGCATCAGCCCGGCTGATTAGCGTGCTCGTGGTCGGTGTAGTAGTAGCGATGAACTCCGTCGTCCCGCTAAGTTCAGTAAGTAGCAGCATCACTTGAGAAGGATCTGTAGGGGGAAGCCCAAGGTGATTGATCAGCCATGGCGGAATCTGCTGGCCTGAACAAATCGTCCTCCCGCCAGCTGTGCCCTGGCATCCAGCTGTCCTACCCCAACGTCGTGCAAGAGTGCTATGCTTCTAGAAGCACGACCGGATATTCCGTCTTCGTCATTCCCTTCAACACCAGGTATTGAATTTGTACGCTTATCCGTGAAAGCTGCGATTCTCGGTCATCGATAATCAGCAGTACTTACAGCTCACCGCCTCGTTCCTAATCGCCTCGTACTTAATCCCCTTGTTCATAACGGCCGAGCGACGACCGTGCGTCAACTGACGTGTCTTCCCGTCATCTCCCGTCGGCGCCCCCGCAGCTGCGACAGCTTCCTGCTGCTCCCCGCGGAGCAGCTATGGAGTCCGGCGGTGCGGTCCGCGTGGTACCTGTGCGGCATGCTCTACTGCTTCGTGGGGCTCGCCGCCATCGTGCGCGTCTTCATGGCGGCGCTCGACCGCATCGCCAGCACGCACGCCATGGTACGGACGAAGCTCACTCTTCTCTATTGGCCGGATGCCTTTATTGTGTTTGTTTCAAGCTTTGAAGCAAATCCCCGCGCTTCCGTCTTTCATTTCGATATCACTATTCGTTATAAACTCAAATTCATCCACAGCTTTCCTGAACTTCTTCTGAATGCCTTCTGTGCCTAATCGCCTCGTATTTATTCACAGCGTGACGATCTCGCCACGTCCCCTTTGCTGATGGCCTTTCTTCCTTTTCCTCTGTTAGGTGAGCCGGCATGACCCCAAGACGGGGCGGGAGGAGCGGCGGGTGGAGAAGGTGTGGAACAGCACGGTGGTGAACATCGCCCTCATGGCGCTCGGCACCTCCGCGCCCGAGATCGTCATCGCTGTCGTCGACGCCCTCAAGCGCCTCAACCAGGCGCCAGGAGGTGAGAGAGTGGCGCATGGATGCCTGCTTCGGTTAAGATTGCGACATGAAAGGATTGAATGGCATCACACGAGTATGCATGAGTATGTGCGTGGCGCATCCCGTGTTCGCCCATCACAGGCACCATCACACGCACCTTCTCGTGTCAACGACTCCTCCGTCCTTTGCCTTTGCCTCTCCTCCTTTACCTTCCCCAATCCTGCACTGCTCGACCCCGGCACGGTGCTGGGGCCAGCAGCGTTATACCTGATGGGCATGTCAGTGGCCTGCATAACCGCGAATGTCTCTTACCACCTGAATTGCGAGATTATCCGCAAGTTGCCTCACTGGAATCTTCGGGTCCACTATTCTCCCCCCTCCGCTGTAGTGCTCGGGCCAGGCACGGTGCTGGGGTCAGCGGCGTTCAACCTGATGGTCATCTCAGCAGTGTGTGTGGTCACCCCTGGCCGCCACTCCATCAAGCGCATCCGAGCTGTTGGGGTCTTCCTGCTGGAGCTCGCCGCCAGCACTTGGGCCTATGTTTGGATTCTGCTCGTGCTCAAGGTGAATCTGCGTGCTCAAGGTGAATCTGCGTGCTCAAGGTGAAACTGCGTGCTCAAGGTGAATCTGCGTGCTCAAGGTGAATCTGCGTGCTCAAGGTGAATCTGTGTGCTCAAGGTGAATCTGCGTGCTCAAGGTGAATCTGCTCGAGCTTAAAGTACCAACCTGCTGCGGTCCTATCTCGTGCGTTTGGTCTCGTGGATGAGGTGGTGGGTTCCCTACCACTGTCTTGGAGCTTCTCTGCAGAGAGGAGGTCATGCCTTGTTTCTGCCCCTGCCCCTTGCCCCTTCTTTGCTTCCATCTCCAAACTCACTGCCCTGTCGCCCACCGCAGGTGTTCTCCCCTGGCCGCATCACCATCGTGGAGGCATGCATCACGCTGCTCTTCTTCCCCCTCTTCATCCTCCTCGCCTACGCCCAAGACCAGCGCTGGCGGTTCTGCCAGCTCTGGCCGCGCTGGCAGCTGTGGAAGCTGCCCGTGCCATTCTTCTCCCGTGCTGCCACCCCCCACCCCCGCCGCGGCTCCCTCACCCGCTTCAAGAGCCACGGCAGCAGGCAGGCTCTCATTGTGCCCGCTGCTGCTCAGGGCAGCAGCAAACACGCAGCTGCTGCTGGTGATGGTGGTTATACTGAGGGGGGTAGTGCATGGTGGGATGTGCTATGGCGGGTTGCTGGCAGTGGAACGGGAGACGAGCAGGGGGCAGGAGGAGGAGGAGGAAGAGGAGGGGAAGTGAAGGGGGCGGGCAGCGACGGTGGTGTGGGAGCAGTGTGGGAGCCCCAGGCAGAGGTGAAAATGCAGAGGGGGGCTCAGACGGGGGGGGACGGGCTGACTGGCGGTCTGCAGACAGAAGGTGGAGATGGGGTGGGTGTTGGGGATGGCATTGGCGTTGGAGTTGGTGCTGGTGCTGGGGATAGGGACAGGGCAATAAGCACGAGCATTGCTATGAGGGGCACGGAGGAGGTTGTGGGGGAGCAAGGGGCGATGGAGGGGGATGGGCGCGGGTCGCATGGGAGCTGGGACCTGAGTGACTTGGAGGGCGTGGTGAGTGTATGTGGGCTGGGTGAGACTTCAAGCAACCCGATCAAGCATGCAGGCCATGTGAAAACGGTGCATGCTAAGCGTTGGATCATGCGTATGTGGCTGTTGGTTGGATGGGCAGGGGCGGATGGGATCGGATGAGCAGCAACGGCAACCTAAGCAAGCATCAGAGATCCGCCCCATGGAGCCAGCAGCAGCGGACCAAGGGAGAGCTGAAGCAGGTATTGCCTCGCACTGCTTGAATGGCATCCAAATTTCTTTACCCTTTCATGTGCACCCGATTAACCTTCCCTTTCAAGCCATCTGGACAATAATTTAACTTGTCGAACGCCTAGGGAAAACGGCAGTCTGGCCAAAAGGTCCTTCACATCTGTCGCTCCTCCAGCCCAGGCCCCATGTCCGTTGTTCTCAACATGCCACCACCAGCACGGCCTCAGAGGTCCAGCCGCAGCTGCCTGGTTCTGAGGCGCTTCAACACAGTCAACCCAACCGGTCCTTCACATTCCCCTCTCTCCCCCAGGCCCCAGGTCGGTTGCTCTCAACATGCCACCAGCACGGCCTCAGAGGTCCAACAGCAGCAACCTGCGCCGCAGATCATCCATGGGGATCTCTGCTGCTGCTGCCGCTATTCAGCACGACTCACCCGACCAGTCACTGTACGTGCTTGACATTCAGTCCATCAATCGTCACTCCCAACCAGCCTGTTACTCTCCCTCAACGTCACACCCACATCCCCTTTCTGATTCGGATTGGTTGTCTTGTAGCAATGGCGGGCGCGCAATAGAGCGCTCTCACCATGTGCCGTCATGTGTCCGCCTCATTCTCCCACCCTCTTCTCTCTCAGCTCACGTTGCCTCGGGCAGCACCTCTGGCTTCGCTCCCAGCTCACTGGCCTCGCCCAGTCCCCTGCCCCTGCTCCTGCCGCCCCACCACCGCCCCGTGCCTCGCCAGTCCCACTCTCTCTTGACCAACCGCAGCAGCAGCAGCAGCAGCAGGAACATCAGCAGGAGGAACAGGAGAAGGCCGAGGGGCATGTGAGGGGGGGAGGGGCAGTAGGCGACAGACGAGTGGGGCAGGTTGCTGAGGACACAGGTGCTGTAGACCTGTCACAAGGTGAGATCGCGAGGGGGGGGCAAGGAAATAGATGTTGCGGATGAGCAGCAGAGTGGTGTGTGAGAGCCGGTGTGCTTTGACCGCCAGTATGACAATCGAGCTTGTTTCTCTAGTGCTCATTTCTCCAGATGCTGTTTCCCATCCGTATTCTTCTCACCCCTGCATTGCCTTTCTCTTCCTCGTTTCGACCTTCTTCCCCAACCCTGGTCAACTGCCATGGGTATCAGAGGGGTGGACCTTGCTGGCACGATCAGGAGAGAGGGAGTTATGCAGGTTTGAGCACAGGGCTGCTAGCACCAGTGGGGCCAGCAGCAGTGCGGCAAGCAGCACCAGTTCTCCGCCCCAAGCCCTCAACTTGTGAGTAGCACTGAACGTTGGAAGGCGTGTCTGATATGACTGTGTGTTTTCAATAATTTATTTCTCTCCGCTCTGTGCATCCGAGTGTCGATCCATCCACCTCTTTTCCCCCCTTAACATCTTCTCCCCCTTCCCAACCAGCCTGGTGTACACTGCGGAACCTCCCCACCTCCTTCTGGAGCTGACAATTGCGCGCCCCCCTCATGGCACCGCCCGCACCAACCATGCTGGCCAATCATCCCCATCAGACCTCCATGCCGCGCTCCCACCCAAGCCATCTGCTTCAGCAGCATCAGCTCATCTTGCCAACGCATCTACCACTCCCACAGACACCTCGTTACAATCACAACCCCCCTGGTTCACGTCAGTGGCCCCTCTTACACTCCCTTCGATACAGTCACGCACCAGGCACACGTCTTCCTTGCTGTTGAAGAGCCCAAGTGCGGCAGGGAGCAGCAGGGGCGGTGGGACAGGAGGGTGTAATGTCGAGGGGGGGATGAGGGCGGTACTAGACGTGGCAGTGCAAGTGGAGGGTGGGGAGGGGTTGGAGGTGGTGGAAGTGAAGGTCACTGTGCTGAGTTTGACCTGCGAAATGCCGCCACAGCAGCAGGAGTATGGTATGTGCCGCTCTCTCCTTTCTCTGCTTGCAGTGCACCACTCAAGCTGGTGGGGTCTGCATGGCTTCTTGATCACGTCTCTCTTTCGCTCTGATGCTTCTGTGCGCCTTCGTTTCCACGCTCTCTGATTTTCTTGCTGTTCTTTAGCGTGTCTGAACTTTTTTCTGTGTGGTGTGCTTGGATTCAATCTACCACTCATTGGCGCCTGCTGACCAGGAGAGCTGCTGCTGGATGGTGCCAGCACATACTCGTTGTCCTCATACTCCCCACCAAAGAGGCTGGGCCTGGGGGAGGCGTGGCTGCAGCAGATAGAGAACGCACTGTCGGTAGGCCTTCTCACCTTGCCCTGCCACTTGTCAGTCAAGCCTTGTAGGCTGTATCTGTGTGCTCCACTGGAGTGTCTACTCTTACAATTGCGTCCTGTGAAGACACAGTGACTGCTTGTTCTTTCTGATGCTCTGCCAGGTCCAGGTGTCGGAGAAGAGGGACGTGTCACTGCTTGACCTTGGACTCCACTTGGTCTCCTTCTACTGGAAGCTCCTCTTCGCACTCATTCCCCCGCCCTCCCTCCTGCGTGGCTGGCCAGCCTTCATGCTCTGTATGTGGGATTTAGCGGTTGATTTGATCAAGGCAGCTTGTGTTTTGGCTTCTACTTGGCTCCACAACATTCTCTCCGCACAGCACCCAAGCATATGTACTGTGAGCTCACTCTCGCGTCCGATGTCCGGCAGGTCTCTGCTTCATGGCCGGCATCTCTTTCCTCATTGACGAGTTTGCAAGGCTCTTCGCGTGCACATCGTGCCTGCATCTCTTCTCGGTTGCCACCGTCCTCGTGGCTAGTGTAAGCTGTTGCAGAATTAAGCTGCAGTTCTAATTTCCGACACCTGTACTAGTATTTCTGCTTTGCTGTGGGGTTTGCTTTGTCATGGTCGTGGCAGCTTGCTCTTCGGAATCTTCATATATTGGGGTTGCCGCCTATCCCTTCTTTCCCCATCTCCGTTTTCCCAGGGAACATCATTGCCTGACCTCCTCGCGAGCAGAACTGCTGCCAGACTCTCGCCCTCTGCTGATGTAGCCATTTCGAACATCACAGGATCAAATGCCGTGAACGTTTTCATTGGCCTTGGCCTGCCATGGCTGATCAAAGCAGTTTACGACAAAGCGGTCTTTGGTGGTCCGATTCCTGTTCCACACATTTCGAACCTTGAGGTTTCTGTCATAGCTTTCTTGTGTACCACTCTGGTCTTCGCTGTCATCATGGGCTTGAGGCGCAACCTCATCAGTGGGGAGCTTGGGGGTTCAAGAAGATGGGCCTGGATAGCATTCACTGTCTTTGTCCTCTCCTGGTGTGGCTTTATTGTTGTGACAGTTGTAATGAGCCAGAGGTACTAGTAATCATCCCTGCTCGCCTCCTGATGATGAGCTTCATGGCCACATACCGTATTCCCCCATATAAAGTGTAATACCGTAATCTCCCAGCATGATTTCCCCCCCGAAAAAGGGACTCTGGGTCTTTTTTCCGGGCCATGGGTCTTAATATCGTAAAGGGATTGTGAGGACCCGCTGTTTGGGGTAAATCATTTGAGGACCCACCCGTTTCAGTTTTAAGAGGTTTTCCTGGCAGTTTTTGCTCAATTTCAAAATGTGTCATGCACTACGAAGTCAACTTCCACATCATGGAGGAAGTCATGCCTGCCTGCCTAGCACGTGAAACCTCTCAATGGGGTGGACCGTGGGGAGACTCCGTGAACGAACCTCCCGAAGTCACACCAGCACCCCCAGAGGGACCACCCCCAGGGCTACCGGGACGAGCACCCCCAGAGTCAGCGAACGGGTGCTGCGACGGCAGCGGCGGCGGCGGCGGCGGCAGAAGCGGTGGAGGAGGGGACTGGGGAGGGGACGCCAGGGGAGGGGCGGCTGACGAGGACTGCACAGGAGGGCCACCAGAGTCAGAAGACTCCTCAACCGGGTCCACCGACGGAAGGGGGGTGACGTGGGAAACACCAGAGGGGGCGGGACGTGGAGGAGGAGGAGGAGGGGCGGGGACTACCGGGGAAGGAGGGACCAGGAACAGGGGGGGAGTAACCGGGGGACCACGGTGGGGGAAGCGACGGTAGTAGGAGACGGACTCGTCAAAGGTGACGTCACGAGAGTGAAAGAAGCGGTGAGACGGCGGGTGGTAAAAGTGCCAGTCGGACGCGTCAAGGGGAAAACCGAGGAAGACGCAGGGAAGGGTGCGGGCAGTGAGCTTGTCCGTGCCGGAGGCACGGACGTGAGCAAGGCAGCCCCAGACGTGGAACGCAGACGCGTCACCAGGAGACCCAGTCCAAAGACGGGTCGGCGAAACCTGCGGCTGCTGAGGGTGCGGCCACAGGTTAAGCTGGTGAGAAGCGTAGCGCACAGCGAACGGCCACAGAAAATGGGGTGCACCGGCATGGATCATGGAGGTGCGAGCCACCTCCATGACCAAACCGATGCGTCGCTCAGCGACCCCATTATGCTGTGGGGAGTCTGGTAGGGTGAACGTCTGGGTGATGCCCTCCGCACGACAAAAGCGACCAAGGACACCTGAGGCAAACTCGCCACCACGGTCGGAGTGAAGACGCAAGACAGGGAGACCGTGGTGGACACGCGCAGAGACAAGCCAGGGGATGAGAGCGCCAGGCACGTCGGCCTTGCGCTCCAGGGGAAAGACTGTGGTGTAGCGTGTGAAGTCGTCGACAAGCACAAGGAAGTAACGCTCTCGACGCGGCCCAGGGACAGGGGCGGGGCCCCATACGTCCAGGTGCAGGGTCTGCAACGGCGCGGCGGTAGGGGGAAACGAGGAGGAGTGAGGGGCACGGCGAAGCCGACCCTCGACACAAGGCATGCAAGGTGGGGCTGGGGAGGAGGGAAACGCAGGGAGAGAACCTGGGAGACCAAGGACAAGACCGTGCTGGGACATGTGACGCAGACGCGGGAGCGCAGGGTGACCTAGGCGGTGGTGCCAAAGGAGGGTCGGGTGAGTGAGGGACCGACAGGAGCAGGCTGCAGCAACCTGGGTGAGCGCTCCAGCCGGGGGGGTCACGGTGTCCAGAGTGAACAGGCCGGACACCGGGTCCCGGGGGAACGTGGACAGGGGGGCACCAGTGGCGGCCTCGGTACAGACAGCATACCGCTCGTGACCAGGGAACGTAGTGGTGACGCCAAGGTCCTGGAGGCAGCCGACACCAACTAGGTTCCTGGAGAACGAGGGGATATGCAGACCTGTAAAAGAGCCCGAAGGAACCGCCGGACAGGGAAGGGTGGTGGAACTGCGGGCGACTACCGGACCGCCAGAGGGGTCAGCGAGAGAAACGGCAGCAGGGACGGGAAGCGGCGTCAGGGTGGTGGAGTCCCGGAAGAAACACCGAGAAGCGCCAGAGTCCAAGGTGAAGGAAAGCGAAGCAGAGGCGTCTGGCAACGAAACGACGGCGGAAACACCAAGACTACACAAAGCAGAGGATCCTACGCCTGACGCAGCAGGGGAGGGTACACTAGGCACACCTACACTAGGCAACAGTGAGTAATAAGCGGGAAGCACACTAGAGTCATCAGCATACATCAGATGCAGAGCAGAAACAATGGCATCCATGTCCATATCAAAAATCTGAATCTGACGACTAAGCAAACTGTGCCAGTCCGGGAGGTCTGGCGACGGGCCGAAGCGTTGACGAAAGAGGTCGTCCAGGCGACGAAAACAGCGGGGAGTGGAGTGACCGAGCTTACTGCAAACGACGCCGCGGCGAGGACCGGTCTGGATCTGGTACTGACAACGCCCGCCGCCAGAGCCACCACGCGGCACACCACCACGCGCCCGGCCACCGCCAGCGCCGGGCCACCCTGGCGGGAGGACACTCGTCTGCCGCGTCTGCGACGGCTGCTGCGGCTGCTGCGAAGGCTGCGACTGCGGCGGCTGCTGCGGCTGCTGCACCTGCAGGGGCGGCGACTCAGCTGAACTGGGCAGGGTCCCCTCGTCCACTCCAGCACCAGGCGACCCGACCCCACCACTACCCCCGCCCGCACCCCCGCCGCCTCCTCCGCCGCGCCCAGCCTTGGGGCGGCGACCCTTCCCCGAACGGACCTGCGCTGCAGCAGCAGTCTCAGCCACTGCGGCAGAGCCGTCGGAGAAGGTGCACTGAGCGGGGGCACAACCCTGAAAGATAGGGACCGGCACGACACCGCTCGCCTGGGCAATGGAGCGGTGACGGGTCTCTATCACAGTCAGGGTGTCTACAAAGTCAGTGAGGGTGAGGTCTGCGGGGTGAACGCTAAGAAAGCGGTCGCGGGCGACAGCAAGGCGGTCAGGGAGGCGGGTGGCAAGCAGGTAGAGGGTAGAGGTAATGGGCGGCTGGTGGGCTCTAAGCTGGGCGTCAGTGCAGGCAGCGCGCCAGGTCTCATCTATCGAGCGCAGGTGGGCAGCGAGGTCAGAGACAGTGGGGAAAGATGCAAGGTCAGGAAAGAGCATCGGAAGGATCAGGCGACCCACCGAGGCAGCCGGAGGGGTGGAATAGCGCTTGATCACAGCATCTAAGTATGCCTGAGCAGTAGTGAGGGACCTAAAGCGAGGACGCTCGGATGGGGGAAGGGCGTTGCTAATGGCAAGCTGGGCAACAGCATCGCGAGAAAGCCAGACAGAGCGCGCACGGGCAGTGGCAGCAGTAGCCTCACGCTCAGTGGGTGTGGGGTCAGCGGGCAGAATAGCAGGGGGGTCTGGGCAGGGGAGCGTACCGTCAAGGTGTGCGGAAAGCGGTTCACCATCCTGCCGCTGGCCAGTGAGTTGACGGCGGAGGTCGGCAAGCCACGCCTCGAACTCTAGGGGCTGACCTTCAGCGTCGAAGCGAAGCTCCGCCGCCATCAGGAACAGTCCAGTGCAGTGCAGGGCAGTGCAGTGCGGTGCAGTGCGGTGCAGTGCGGTGCAGTGCGGTGCAGTGCGGTACAGTGCGGTGCAGTGCGGTGCAGTGCGGTGTAGTGCGGTGTTGTGCGGTGCCAGGCAGTACAGTGTGGTGCGGGGCGGCACGGAGCAGGGCGGGGTGGGGGGGAACCGTACCAGTGAGGAGGACGGGGTTGGGGCTGGCCCGACGGGGCCGGGCGGCCGCGACGGGGCCGGGCTGGTGCGACAGGGCCGGGACGGGGCGACGGGGTCGAGCGGGCGCGACGGGGCCGGGCTGGGGCGACGGGGCCGGGCGAGTGCGGCAGGGCCGGGCCGGTGCGACGGGGCCGGGCGAGCGGGACGGCGGCTGGGCGGGTGCGACGGGGCCGGGCGGCTGTGACGGGGCCGGGCAGGGTGGGACAGGGCCGGGCGGGGGCGACGGGGCCGGACGGCTGCGACGGGGCCAGGCAAGGGCGACGGGGCCAGGCGGCTGCGACGGGGCCGGGCGGGCGCGACGGGGCCAGGCGGCTGCGACGGGGCCGGGCGGGCGCGACGGGGCCGGGCGGGCGCGACGGGGCCGGGCGCGTGCGACGGCGCCGGGCGGGCGCGACGGGGCCGGGCGGCTGCGACGGCGCCGGGCGGGCGCGACGGGGCCGGGCGGCTGCGACGGGGTCGGGCAGGGTGCGACGAGGCCCAGGAGGGGCGCTACAGGGCCCAGGGAGGGCGCGACGGGGCCCAGTAGGGGCGCTACGGAGCCCAGGAGGGGCGCGACGGGGCCTGGGAGGGGCGCGACGGGGCCCTGGAGGGGCGCGACAGAGCCCAGAAGGGGCGCTACGGGGCCTGGGAGGAGCGCGACGAGGCCCAGGAGGGGCGCTAGGGGGCCTGGGAGGAGCGCGACGGGGCCTGGGAGGGGCGCGACGGGGCCTGGGAGGGGCGTTACAGGGCCCAGGAGGGGCGCTACGAAGCCCAGGAGGGGCGCGACGAGGCCCAGGAGGGGCGCTACGGGGCCCAGGAGGGGCGTGACGGGGCGCTACGGGGCCTGGGAGGAGCGCGACGGGGCCCAGGAGGGGCGCTAGGGGGCCTGGGAGGAGCGCGACGGGGCCTGGGAGGGGCGCGACGAGGCCTGGGAGGGGCGTTACAGGGCCCAGGAGGGGCGCTACGAAGCCCAGGAGGGGCGCGACGAGGCCCAGGAGGAGCGCTACGGGGCCCAGGACGGGCGCGACGGGGCGCTACGAGGCCTGGGAGGAGCGCGACGGGGCCCAGGAGGGGCACTAGGGGGCCTGGGAGGAGCGCGACGGGGCCTGGGAGGGGCGCGACGGGGCCTGGGAGGAGCATTACAGGGCCCAGGAGGGGCGCTACGAAGCCCAGGAGGGGCACGACGAGGCCCAGGAGGGGCGCTACGGGGCCCAGGAGGGGCGCGACAGGGCGCTACGGGGCCTGGGAGGAGCGCGACGGGGCCCAGGAGGGGCGCTAGGGGGCATGAGCGGAAGCGGTAGGAGGGGGGGATCCTACCTATGCGTGATACCATATCAGAATTGGAATTGTAATGATGGTAAAGTGAGAGTACACACAAATATACCTAAGTGTTGTACCCTCTAAGAGGTAACCCTATACTGTCTATACAAACATGACAAATACAGATGTTTGACACCGATTCCTGTTCCACACATTTCGAACCTTGAGATTTCTGTCATAGCTTTCTTGTGTACCACTCTGGTCTTCGCTGTCATCATGGGCTTGAGGCGCAACCTCATCAGTGGGGAGCTTGGGGGTTCAAGAAGATGGGCATGGATAGCATTCACTGTCTTTGTCCTCTCCTGGTGTGGCTTTATTGTTGTGACAGTTGTATTGAGCCAGAGGTACTAGTAATCATCCCTGCTCGCCTCCTGATGATGAGCTTCATGGCCACATACCGTATTCCCCCATATAAAGTGTAATACCGTAATCTCCCAGCATGATTACCCCTCCGAAAAAGGGACTCTGGGTCTTTTTTCCGGGCCATGGGTCTTAATATCGTAAAGGGATTGTGAGGACCCGCTGTTTGGGGTAAATCATTTGAAGACCCCCCCGTTTCAGTTTTAAGAGGTTTTCCTGGCAGTTTTTGCTCAATTTCAAAATGTGTCATGCACTACGAAGTCAACTTCCACATCATGGAGGAAGTCATGCCTGCCTGCCTGGCACGTGAAGCCTCTCAATGGGGTGGACCGTGGGGAGACTCCGTGAACGAACCTCCCCCCTCGTAATTGTTCAATAATATTGTATATAATTGTAGGCTTGGTAGTTATGCAACCCCCTGTAGAGGGGACAACCCCCTTCTTGTACCTCATTCTCTTCTAGTCGAACTCTCTTCTCTCTCGACATTTTTCCCTCCTACCTAAACCCCATCCGCCATTCCATGGCGGGCTTCCCTACATCCTAGTTTAGTTAGCTTTCAGACATGGTATCAGAGCAGGCCTCCCGTCCCGGGCCTGCTCACTACGCTTCCGCTGCGTTCCCGTCGTTTCTTCGCCGCCGTTGCGGCTTTCCGCATGCCTGCCGCCGTGGCATCTTTTCCGTGATGCCGCGGCGGCCTTTTAGTGCTGCCGTCTCAGCTTCGACAAGCAGCCGCGGCACCGACGCCACGCTGTGGCAGCGTCGTAATGGTGCCGCGGTGGCGTCGTCGGGCTGCAGCCGCCGCGTTACACCTGCGCAGCTGGTGGACTTGCAGCCCGCCCGCACGCCAGTAAGCGCGGCGCCAGCAATGGCGCCGCGCTGAAGGCCTGAAGCCCCGCCCCCTCCCCCGTCCCTTCGTCCCCTCCTCTTCGCCACAGCCGCCTCCTGACTCTCGCCGGTCGTCCCCGTGTCGCGGAGCTTGGACACGCAGCTGAAAGGGCGGGGGCCGCTGCCGTCGCCGCAGTCATAAGTCGAAGTCGCCGCCGACACCGCCGTCGCCGCAGGCCTTTTGCCGCCGCACGCCGCCGTCGCCGCCGCTGTCGCCGCTGTCGTGGCTGCTACCGTCGCCATCTCCAGAGCCTTGGGGTTGGCTCCGCTGGAGTAGACGTGGCTGCTGGGAATGGGGGTGTTAGATTCGGGGGTGTGGGGGTGTGTGGGTCTTCCTACTACCAAGCCTAGGGGGTGTGTTCAATTATATTTTATATAATTGTAGGCTTGGTAGTTATGCTACTAACTGCATCCTACTGTAGAAGGGACAACCCCCTTCTTGTACCTCATTCTCTTCTAGTCGAACTCTCTTCTCTCTCGACATTTTTCACTCCTACCTAAACCCCACCCGCCATTCCATGGCGGGCTTCCCTACTTCCTAGTTTAGTTAGCTTTCAGACAGTAATGTGTCAAACATCTGTATTTGTCATGTTTGTATAGACTGTATAGGGTTACCTCTTAGAGGGTACAACACTTAGGTATATTTGTGTGTACTCTCACTTTACCATGATTAAAATTCCAATTCTGATATGGTATCACGCGTAGGTAGGATCCCCCCCACCTACCGCTTCCGCTCATGCCCCCTAGCGCCCCTCCTGGGCCCCGTCGCGCTCCTCCCAGGCCCCGTAGCGCCCTGTCGCGCCCCTCCTGGGCCCCGTAGCGCCCCTCCTGGGCCTCGTCGCGCCCCTCCTGGGCTTCGTAGCGCCCCTCCTGGGCCCTGTAACGCTCCTCCTAGGCCCCGTCGCGCCCCTCCCAGGCCCCGTCGCGCTCCTCCCAGGCCCCCTAGCGCCCCTCCTGGGCCCCGTCGCGCTCCTCCCAGGCCTCGTAGCGCCCCGTCGCGCCCCTCCTGGGCCCCGTAGCGCCCCTCCTGGGCCTCGTCGCGCCCCTCCTGGGCTTCGTAGCGCCCCTCCTGGGCCCTGTAACGCCCCTCCCAGGCCTCGTCGCGCCCCTCCCAGGCCCCGTCGCGCTCCTCCCAGGCCCCCTAGCGCCCCTCCTGGGCCCCGTCGCGCTCCTCCCAGGCCCCGTAGCGCCCCGTCGCGCCCCTCCTGGGCCCCGTAGCGCCCCTCCTGGGCCTCGTCGCGCCCCTCCTGGGCTTCGTAGCGCCCCTCCTGGGCCCTGTAACGCCCCTCCCAGGCCCCGTCGCGCCCCTCCCAGGCCCCGTCGCACTCCTCCCAGGCCCCCTAGCGCCCCTCCTGGGCCTCGTCGCGCTCCTCCCAGGCCCCGTAGCGCCCCTCCTGGGCTCTGTCGCGCCCCTCCCGGGCCCCTTCGCGCCCCTCCCTGGCCCCGTCGCGCCCCTCCTGGGCTCCGTAGCGCCCCTACTGGGCCCCGTCGCGCCCTCCCTGGGCCCTGTAGCGCCCCTCCTGGGCCCCGTCGCACCCTGCCCGACCCCGTCGCAGCCGCCCGGCCCCGTCGCGCCCGCCCGGCGCCGTCACAGCCGCCCGGCCCCGTCGCGCCCGCCCGGCGCCGTCGCACCCGCCCGGCCCCGTCGCGCCCGCCCGGCCCCGTCGCAGCCGCCTGGCCCCGTCGCGCCCGCCCGGCCCCGTCGCAGCCGCCTGGCCCCGTCGCCCTTGCCTGGCCCCGTCGCAGCCGTCCGGCCCCGTCGCCCCCGCCCGGCCCCGTCCCACCCTGCCCGGCCCCGTCACAGCCGCCCGACCCCGTCGCACCCGCCCGGCCGCCGTCCCGCTCGCCCGGCCCCGTCGCACCGGCCCGGCCCTGCCGCACTCGTCCGGCCCCGTCGCCCCAGCCCGGCCCCGTCGCGCCCGCTCGACCCCGTCGCCCCGTCCCGGCCCTGTCGCACCAGCCCGGCCCCGTCGCGGCCGCCCGGCCCCGTCGGGCCAGCCCCGGCCCCGTCCTCCTCACTGGTACGGTTCCCCCCCACCCCGCCCTGCTCCGTGCCGCCCCGCACCACACTGTACTGCCTGGCACCGCACTACACCGCACTGCACCGCACTGTACCGCACTGCACCGCACTGCACCGCACTGCACTGCCCTGCACTGCACTGGACTGTTCCTGATGGCGGCGGAGCTTCGCTTCGACGCTGAAGGTCAGCCCCTAGAGTTCGAGGCGTGGCTTGCCGACCTCCGCCGTCAACTCACTGGCCAGCGGCAGGATGGTGAACCGCTTTCCGCACACCTTGACGGTACGCTCCCCTGCCCAGACCCCCCTGCTATTCTGCCCGCTGACCCCACACCCACTGAGCGTGAGGCTACTGCTGCCACTGCCCGTGCGCGCTCTGTCTGGCTTTCTCGCGATGCTGTTGCCCAGCTTGCCATTAGCAACGCCCTTCCCCCATCCGAGCGTCCTCGCTTTAGGTCCCTCACTACTGCTCAGGCATACTTAGATGCTGTGATCAAGCGCTATTCCACCCCTCCGGCTGCCTCGGTGGGTCGCCTGATCCTTCCGATGCTCTTTCCTGACCTTGCATCTTTCCCCACTGTCTCTGACCTCGCTGCCCACCTGCGCTCGATAGATGAGACCTGGCGCGCTGCCTGCACTGACGCCCAGCTTAGAGCCCACCAGCCGCCCATTACCTCTACCCTCTACCTGCTTGCCACCCGCCTCCCTGACCGCCTTGCTGTCGCCCGCGACCGCTTTCTTAGCGTTCACCCCGCAGACCTCACCCTCACTGACTTTGTAGACACCCTGACTGTGATAGAGACCCGTCACCGCTCCATTGCCCAGGCGAGCGGTGTCGTGCCGGTCCCTATCTTTCAGGGTTGTGCCCCCGCTCAGTGCACCTTCTCCGACGGCTCTGCCGCAGTGGCTGAGACTGCTGCTGCAGCGCAGGTCCGTTCGGGGAAGGGTCGCCGCCCCAAGGCTGGGCGCGGCGGAGGAGGCGGCGGGGGTGCGGGCGGGGGTAGTGGTGGGGTCGGGTCGCCTGGTGCTGGAGTGGACGAGGGGACCCTGCCCAGTTCAGCTGAGTCGCCGCCCCTGCAGGTGCAGCAGCCGCAGCAGCCGCCGCAGTCGCAGCCTTCGCAGCAGCCGCAGCAGCCGTCGCAGACGCGGCAGACGAGTGTCCTCCCGCCAGGGTGGCCCGGCGCTGGCGGTGGCCGGGCGCGTGGTGGTGTGCCGCGTGGTGGCTCTGGCGGCGGGCGTTGTCAGTACCAGATCCAGACCGGTCCTCGCCGCGGCGTCGTTTGCGGTAAGCTCGGTCACTCCACTCCCCGCTGTTTTCGTCGCCTGGACGACCTCTTTCGTCAGTGCTTCGGCCCGTCCCCAGACCTCCCGGACTGGCACAGTTTGCTTAGTCGTCAGATTCAGATTTTTGATATGGACATGGATGCCATTGTTTCTGCTCTGCATCTGATGTATGCTGATGACTCTAGTGTGCTTCCCGCTTATTACTCACTGTTGCCTAGTGTAGGTGTGCCTAGCTTAGCCTCCCCTGCTGCGTCAGGCATAGGATCCCCTGCTTTGTGTAGTCTTGGTGCTTCCGCCGTCGTTCCGTCGCCAGACCCCTCGGCTTCGCTTTCCTTCACGTTGGACTCTGGCGCCTCTCGGTGTTTCTTCCGCGATTCCACCACCCTGACGCCGCTTCCTGTTCCTGCTGTCGTTTCTCTTGCTGACCCCTCCGGCGGTCCGGTAGTCGCCCGCAGTTCCACCACCTTCCCTGTCCGGCGGTTCCTTCGGGTTCTCTTACAGGTCTGCATATCCCCTTGTTCTCCAGGAACCTAGTTGGTGTCGGCTGCCTCCAGGACCTTGGCGTCACCACTACGTTCCCTGGTCACGAGCGGTATGCTGTCTGTACTGAGGCCGCCACTGGTGCCCCCCTGTCCACGTTCCCCCGGGACCCGGTGTCCGGCCTGTTCACTCTGGACACCGTGACCCCCCCGGCTGGAGCGCCCCCTCAGGTGGCTGCGTCTACCCAGGTTGCTGCTGCCTGCTCCTGTCGCTCCCTCACTCACCCGACCCTCCTGTGGCACCACCGCCTAGGTCACCCTGCGCTCCCGCGTCTGCGTCACATGTCTCAGCACGGTCTCGTCCTTGGTCTCCCAGGTTCGCTCCCCGCGTTTCCCTCCTCTCCA